TTCCCTGTAAAATGAGATTTGTCTATTTTGCCATACCCAAGACATTTTGCTTTCTATATTCTGAGCTTATACATAGAACTTTTAAACAGTTCTTCTGAAATTTTTGGTTATTTAAAATATCCCTACCTCTTCTAAGCTGCATAGACAGGGGGAGGGTAAGAATAGTATAGGAAATGGACAAGCCAAAGAATTTATATGTACGACCCACAGACATGAACTAAAGAGGGGGAATGTGGGTGGGAGGGGTGTGCAGGGTGGAGGGGAATGAAGGGGGGAAAATGGGACAACTGTAATAGCATAGTGAATAAAATATATTAAAAAAGAAAAAATAAAATATCCCTATCTCCTATGTTTTTAACCTTAAAGCCCACCTTTCTCAGCTTTGTTGAGGTACAACGAGTAAACACTCAAGTCCACTTTTCTACCCCCAGAGTCTCCTTGGAGTTAGTGTTTCATGGTGCAGTTTTTTCCATCTTTTTACTTGTTGCTGCTTTTTGGACTTGCCTTTTCTTCTTATGCTTGGTTTATTTGTATTAATGTGCTGGACACCCATGAGAAGAAGAATTTAAGGGTAAGAAAGATGTTATCTTCCAAACCCCCCAAAAGAATTTCCTTTTCTTATGTCAGGTGTGTAGAGATACTCAATTCTGAGACAGTGATGACTCCAAGCTGAGCTTCAACCCCCAAAGGGCTTTTCTTGGGGACCCTACCCTAGGACTTCCAAGGGCTTTTTGCTCTTGTTGGCCCTTAACGTCAATCCCTCTCCCCCAGCCCTGTGACGTTACAGCAGGAGCCGTCCAGCCGGTCAAGCACCCCTTCCAGAGTAAGTGGAAGCCCCAGGGCAGAGGCGTCCAGACTGTGGGGTCACCTCCTTGCAGGTCACTCTTCCCTGCATTGTGGCCCAGCAAGTATCTACTATTTTAGTTTTCTGATATTTTTGAACATATTTTTCTCACCTTTCCTAACTGTCCTTAATGAGTTGATCTAAATTTTCCAGTTTTCCTTGACCAGAAGGTCCTAATTTATTTTCTCTAGAAAAAACTTCTCTTGCACAGTTGTCCTTGTAATGTTTGGGATGCTTTAGAAGCCGACGGTTGTGAAGCACGGAGATTTTACTTCATAATTTTCATTCAGGAGGACATGGCGTGCAATTCTGCATCTTGATATAGATGTTCGAACAAGCAGGGGTGACTGTACAGAAGTCAGAAACACTGTGGGGCAGAGAACTTTCATTTTTAGTCACGTATTTTGTTTTAATCTCACGTTTTCACAGTTTATGGGGTCATATGTACTACATGTGACAGCAGACACTTAAAATACCGTTAGGCCTTTATCATCTAGAACATGTTAATGAACACAAGTTTTTCATTTATTTTTTAATTTACTTACTTATTTACATCAATGTACGCTTGCCTCTCATGCACCCCCACTGGGGACCTGGCCTGCAGCCCAGGCATGTGCCCTGACTGGGAATTCAAGCATGACCCTTTGGTTCACAGGCCCGCTCTCAATCCACTGACCTACACCAACCCGGGCTAAATACAGGTTTTAATGACAATGCTTGATTGAACATCTGATACAAGAACAAGAACTCTGGCTCCCTAATGAGAGGAGAGACTCCCCACTTGTCATTGAGAAAGTCTGTCTGGGAGAGAAAGCGCAGGCCCTGCGGTTGCGGTCTGTGCATTGTGTACGGGGCTTTCCCAGGGAGGGTCTGGGGAGGGTCTGGGGAGCGCCGGGCTGCCTGCTGGGCCCTGGATTCCAGCCAGAGAGGCCCGCTGGGCTCCACCGAGTCTGTCACCCTGGCAGCCGTGGGCCCATGTGTGAAACCAGCAAGGCGCCACTTCGTGAGCAACTCCTTTCACCGTCACCCTGGGAAACTCCCAGCGAAACACATGTAGGGCATCTGTTTTCCGAGCTCCTCCTCCAGAGCAGTGGGAATGCTGGTTTTGTTTGAGAAGGGAGGAGAGGAAAAGCCGGATAGCTCAGTGTTGGAGAATGTGGTCCTGTTTCTGTTGTACCTGCTCCAATGGCTTCTTTGTGATTTTCCTCTCTTTTCAATGAAACAATGTGTCAGGCAGTTTCCATTCAACGTGCTCCTCCAGCCTGGGGCTCCCCTGAACTACAGACTCATTGTAATCATCTGCCTGCGTCCTGGACATCTTAGTTGTCGGCTCCCTCAGAGTCAGCATGTCCCCAAACTATCCTACCTGGTGTCTGTGAGAGGAGGCAGAGGCATCTGTAACATCCCTGATGATTCCCCAGTGCAACCTCTTCACGGTTAAGCAGAGGAAGACGCTCAAGTCACCAGAGCATCTCCTCCTCTGACACTTTCCGGTCCTCCAGCTCCCGGTGCCCCGGCCGTGACCCACGCAGGCTTCCCTTCCGCCCTGGCGTCCTTGTACTATTATTTCCTTTGTGATTTTCTGTGTTGGATAAATATTTTATGGATGCCACAAATATTTATTGGACATTTGCAACAATAGAGGGCACCCAGCATTTGCCAGACACTGCTGCCCTGGGTTCTGGGATGGAAGGACCAATAAGACATTGATGGACTCTGCCCTCGTGGCGTTTCCTGACTTGTGAAGAGACAGAGAGGAAAACAGGCACTTTGAATGTAGATGGCAGAGCTAAGCACGGACACTTTAAATTCAGAGGGAGAGAAGAGACCATGTGATCCTGTGGGGAGGCGGGAGGGTGGAGGGGGGGGGAGTGGGAGACAGCCCTTCTGTTTGATGCAAACACTGGCCGACTTCTCCATTCACCATCCTCTCTGGCTGAGAATAGGTCAGAGGCTCGAATGTGCTAGTGGGCAGGGTCAGAAGCTGTGGTTTTAGGGGCTATCGCCATGTCCTGTTTTGCAAACAAGAAATAGTGGGATGGCCAAAAAGTCCCTGTGGTTTTTTCCATAAAAGACACATTTTTCATTTTCATGAATGACTTCATTGATTTGAATATTTTGTGTATGCTGGCCATCTCTCACATGGTATAATGTTAACTGAGAACAATTAACGTTCACTCAGTTTGATCACTACCAACTTCAGCTGGTCCGCCTGATGGTGGAGCCTCGTCCAGTGAGAAATCTCCAGCCAGAAACTTCACAAACCACTTTTAACACTTGGGATCAGTCACAGCACCTTCTCCATACATTGCTCAAATCTTTGTGTGTGTGTGTTCAGTTGTGTTTTTACCTTCCTTGAAATAATAAGGCATAATATGTTGAAAATGTTGCATATTTTCTTCCATCTTCAATTTAAAATGGCTGCACAAAAGTTCACCAAATTTGATGTTTAGTTTTAAATGCACTTTGATATGACAGCTGTCACAATACAATCAAACCAATTGGTTCCAATGAAGTTAAAGACAACTAAGCGCTAACAGAGCCATCTTACAGGAAAAAAAATGAACTTTTTGGCCAACCCAATATTTATGAGGCATCTGTTACAATAATAAGGCTACGTCTGCTTACATTCGGGCGATTCTCTGTAAATCGAGCTCCCCTGAAAATCACTGGCTCCTTTGACAAATGAGGATGCTGAGGCATGTAACTTGTTGAGGTCCTTAAAAGTCCCAACTGCACTACTTAGAACCAAGGGTCCTGCTTCGCCAGCCAGAGCACTGCCCACTGACCCATCCCTCTGTGACTTCGCCTGAGACTCTGCCCCGCTGAGGATCCCACAGCTGGTGGAAGAGTTTCAGTCCGCTCCGGTGGTGGGTGCAGTACAAAGGCATGTTGATGTCATCACAGCCCTCGGTCCTGCTTGAGCCGGGTGAATCTAGATCTCCCGCTTCTCTGGCTTCCTGTGGGACTATTAATGAGAATGAGCAATACAAGATGAGAGCAACTTTTCCGGGGGTAGCACATATACCCGTGGAGATCACAGCTGCCAAATGGATGCTTTGCTGACTCACAGCTGCCAGGAGTAGTCAGCTCTGCATGATGGAGTTGCTGTGAGACTCTGCAAGATGGGAGAACGAAGGAGGGGCCAGGTTTCTGCCTCTCGCCACAGAACTCTCTCGTCTGCTCAACCTGCAGCCAAGGGTGGGCTGCTGAGTCCCGGGGGCTAACACATGGATGTCTTGTGGATGCAGGCCAACCTTATCACGTTCATTTGCTAAGGTTTGGAAAGATTTCTGGCCTTGTGCTAGCCTTCCAACGATTCAAAGAGAGAATGTATGTAGAACCCCTGGCACATAGTAAGTGGGCAATAAATGGCAACTGCTGTAATAACAGTAACTGCAATAATCATGACCTTAATTATGGAAATAATAGGGCAATAGCATTAGAGCAACAATTATTTAATAACGATGGTTACAATGTGCATATCAACAGTATAGCAATAAGTGGCATCAGGATGGGGGCTTCTTCCAGTGGGAGTTTTACGTGATAAAAAGAAGCAGACTCTGAGAGCTCTCTGTGTTCTCTGCTCAGTTTTGCTGTAAACCTAAAACTGCTCTAAAACATAAGGTTAAAAGTTTTTTTAAGAGAAAAAAGAGAGTAGACTGGTGATTCGTTGGTGTTACTATTGGTTTTCAATTCTCTAAAGACAGTGCACACCCTCGTTGCTTCCACCCACTTCCACCACCCTGCCCGTGCTACGCTCACCACCGACAGGAGCAGTGGCTATTTTTAAGTTGCTCCATGGGCTATGCAGATATTCGAGGAAGGAGCATGTTAAGGATGCTCAGTCGGTCTGGGGTCTCTGTTCGTGACCGGGTGTTGGGTGCTGGTGAAGCTGGTTTCCACGTACTGCCGGGACCCCAAGTCACACGTGCTGGGCTCTGTGGTTCTTTGCTGAGCGATGCAGCCACATCAGCTCTGCTCAGCATGGCTGCGGCTGAGTCGGGTGGCTGGGAGAGGACCCTGCAGAGGGCACGCACCACATACTCCGGCACCTACCATCTTCCCTAATCCACAAACCAGGGCAGGTCTTGTCCCCAAGTCCCGGATGGCTTGGCTTCCTTTCCTAATAAAAGGTTCTCTTTCCTTTGAGTAGGAAAATGCCCGGCTGATCAGAGAAGTGGAAGTAGACAGGGTCTCCGCACTCTCCAGCGAGCAGGCGCAGGCCATCAAGCAGCTCTGGCTGGACCCAGGAATCCAGGAGTGTTACGACAGGAGGAGGGAATACCAGCTGTCAGACTCGGCCAAATAGTGAGTACAGGGCCTAAGGGGCTTTCAGGGGGGCACACTCCATACACTTCAAAGAAGCTCCTCCTGGAGAAAGGGAGGAGCTGTCTACCTCTCTCCTGCTTGTCTGTGTCCCCCTCTTGCTTCATGGGGAGCCTCTTCCCACCTACTAAAACCTCAGCCCCTCTGTGGATCCCAGATTTCTCTCCTTGCCCTTACCCACCTTTCCTCACCGTGTCCTGAGCTTTTGTCTTTTTCAATGGGGCTAAATCAACCCCGAGATTCCCTTGGTGGAACTGATCTCATTTGGATTACTGAAATGATCTGATTTAAGTAAGAACTGCCTCTGCTTCTGGCTTCTACTTCCCTCCTCTCCATATTCCTTTGCCTTCTGGCTTCCTGATCAGTAGACTGACTCCAGGTCCAATTACCCTAAAATCTAAAACCTGTTTAGACCTCACTGCACAGGCTGTCACTGGCTGCTCTTGTGCTGCCCTCTAGTGGGCAGCATAGGCTCTGCGGGCCCAGCACAGGGAGGAAGCTCAGTCCTAGAGTCCTTTGTTTATTGACTTGCAAAGGCCTACACGTTTCGTTTTGTTTTTTGGATCCATAAAGCTCTGGTTTTAAATGTTGTCCTTAGGATAAAAAAATAAATAGATGGTTCTGCATGCAAACTATTCCAGTGAGATCACAGAATCTTATTTTCTTAAGAATTTCCCGTGGTGCTGCCTCAGTCAGCCAGACCACGGGGCAAATAGCTCAATCAAGGTCCTTCTTAAAGAAGTGATTCCTGTTTCTGGGGCTCAGCTCCTCCCACCTTGGCCCATGTCACCTTCCACCTTCTGAGGGCCCTGAAATCCTTTCCCAAGACGTTCCCTTCCCTTCAAGGGCTGTCATTGCCCTCTGAGCTGGCGTGGTGGGTGATCCACTCCCATCCTCTGGACAGGGCAGCAAGCAGGAAGGGGACCTGGAATCTTGCCTCCGGCACTGGTCCCAGGCTGAGAGTTTACTCCTTTTATCCAGGCAGGCACACTCAGTTCCTGACTGAGTTTAGGAACATTTAGGTGCAAAGCAGGGAAAGGGAAGATGAGAAACCCCACTAAGGTGCTAGGTGGGCACAGACAAGAGCCAGAAGAGAGGTAGTGTCCCCAAAGGAGGGCAGACTGCCAGGGACAGCTCCCTAGGGGTCAAGGCATTCCTGGCTCTTTCTTGAGAGCCTGGCACCATTTGCTTCTGTGGAGGGGAGGGACCGGGCTCCTGATGCAGATCCCTTTGGAAGAGACCCACAGGCGCCGCTATGAAATTCAGTGGAGCCCTGCACACTGTGGCAAGTGGGAGAGGACCCTCGGAAGTGACTGGGGTGGTGGATAGAGCTGCAGCAGCAAAGATAAACCCAGACAGCTGCCCGCCTTTGGAACTGGTGAGACCTGAGACACTTGCGTGTTTCCTTGGTCCAGGCCAGCAGCTGTCAACCGCTCTGCCAGTCACATCTGCTTATTTGGACAGGCATTTGTTGCACTAAATTGTGATGCAAGCCTGCGGAGGGCCAAGGTGCTGCAGGCACCGAGGTGAGGGTGGCACTGCTCTCTAACGTTGAGGAGCGTACAGTCTGGTGGAGTGAGAGAGGTGTAAAGATCACACAAATGGAGGTCAGCACCGACTGGCCGCAGTCACTCACATATGCGGCACAGAGTGGTCTCAGAGGGCTGATGGGCTTGGAATCTCCAGCTCTGTCATTGCCAGGCCCTGAGTTATTTTACTCAAAAATGCCTTTTTTAAAGGCTTAATTATTTTTTAAGTATCCTCTTGTTCTACCACAGAGAAGTGATATGTTTTAAGCTCCTGGGGCTTTCTTGGATATATGGCAAAAAATAATCCAAGACAAGTTTTGGTTTATTTTAGATGTTTAATTTCTCTGTGTAACAGGAAAACTTTCTTGTTAATATTTGGAAAGAACTTCCTGTCGGCCTGTTTCATGCCTTCACATTTTCTTAGAAACTCTAATTCACTGAGCAAAGCATTTGGGAACAGCCTCTGTGCTCTATGATCATGGATGGGGGGGAGCGTGGGAGGGGGAAGGACCTCGGAGGGCGGAGGGCGGATTCCAGCACCCCCTTCCTTCCCGCTGCTGTCTCTCTCACGCCCAGATAACCATCAAGCTTAGATCCAGGAGGAAGTGATGGCGTGGTCTGCAGATTTCCCAGAAGGCTCAGGGAAGCTTCTGGTCTACTCTCTCCACAACAGTTGTAGGAGAGCTGCCTCCCAGAGTCGCGGATGGAACCCGTGAATCTGAGTGGGGGTTGCTCCGAGTCGGGGTGACGTCCCTGGGGTGGGAAGCTCCTCCTTTCTCTAAAATGAATCTCTGCGTTCTCTAATGTCAGTTACTTGAGTGACATTGACCGGATCGCCGTGCCGTCGTTTGTGCCCACACAGCAAGACGTGCTTCGTGTCCGAGTGCCCACAACTGGCATCATTGAGTATCCCTTTGACCTGGAAAACATCATCTTCCGGTAAGAATGTCTCCCTGAATTCGTGCAGGCTCAGAAGCCCCCAGAAGTCTTCTTACATACGTTATTCCTAAAAGAGGTTCTATCTTTCAGAACAATATGCCCTCTCCCTTGCAGGGTATTTAGAATTACGGTAGGTCTCAAGTCCTAGTATTAGAGAGGGGCCCACCTTTGTATTACCCCTGGGGATGAAGCGCCTCCATCCACACGGACATCAGCGATGAGTCTTCTGTGTAACTCCCCCCTCACACACACAGATGGGTACTTCTATAACCCACACACCGAATATACTGAGGTCTCTTTCATTAACTTGAAAATATTTCTCTTCCCTTATCCAAGACTTATCCTCAAAAATGAAAACTAAGAATCAATACAGAAATGTATATTCAAAATTGTTTCATACAAATTATTTTCCAGCTGTGTAAGAATTTTCACATATAAATATAGCAACTTTTAGGATGATTTAAGTAGGTCCTTGTTGCATTTAATTATGGCAAAAGATGAATAATAATATGGCACATATGCACAGCACTGCCAATGTCAAAGCGCTTTTGTATCCACTGGTCCCCTTGTCCCCCCGATAGTCATTACACACGAGTGGAGACCACGCGAGTCCAGCCCTGCAGCGCCCAGGTCCTGTCTGCAAACCTGACTCCTCGGGGCTGCTGGAGCAGTGGGGCGCCCTAGGGTCAAGTCCCTGCAAGTCCTGTGTCCTTGTGAGCACTTCCCCCGTTCTGTGTGCACATGAGCTTATCTCAGCCTTCTCGGCATCAGTGCTGCTCCAACTTCCAAAGCCGGTATCTGGTCCACAGATGTGTTCTCTTTGGCTCACTTGGTGTTTTAAAAAACTTTTGAGCCAACATTTACAATTTGGGCTGTTTCACTTAAAGCATGTGGTATCTAGTTTCTCTTGAAAAGCTGGAAGATCTGGTCACAGTGAGCCTGCATTTTCGTCCCCAGCAGCTGGCCTCAGCCACGTGGCCCCTCCAGAGGGGCCCTCCAACTCTCCCTGTGCACACTGCCCAACTGTGCGGGGCCCGTGTGACTCACTTTCATCAACTGCTGGACCCTTTGGCTAGGAGTCCCTGCAATCTTTCCGACAAACACTTTGGATTTCCTTTGTCAGGGGGCACTTACCACACATCTTTAGAGGGAAGAAGGGGCAGCGTCCCCTAATGTACAAAGGACTGGTGGATAAATCGGGGGAGCCATGACAACGGGAAGGGGCCAAGGCCTGGGGGAAGCCGAGCGGACCGGCAGACGGCCTGCCTTCCTGCCCCTCCGTGGCCGGTGCCCCGGCACTCCAGTGGGCAGAGCGACGCCTGAGTGGGCGCTTGTGCTTTCTGCCTGGATGACAGCAGCTTCCTACCCAGTGTCCCCAAGCAGGCTCCACCCGAGTGACCTCTGCACTGCTTTCAGTAACTTCACTAATACTGTCCTCCTTTGCTAGGAATCTCCAGGTGGCTCCTCGCTGCCTAAAGCAGCGGTGCTCAAACGTTTCCACCTTAGGACCCCTTTCCACCCTTAAAGAATCCCAAGGAGCCTAAAAAGCACTGACTCCCACGGTATCATGATTCGTGCCCTTCTTCTCCCAAGAGTCGGGTGTTCTACCCTTTGAGAGATCTGTGTTTCTGCTGAACAGGATGGTAGATGTTGGCGGCCAGCGATCCGAGAGACGGAAGTGGATTCACTGCTTTGAGAGCGTCACCTCCATCATTTTTTTGGTTGCTCTGAGTGAATATGACCAGGTCCTGGCCGAGTCTGACAATGAGGTACGCCGGGTGGGGGGTTTGATTAGCTGTGGAACACAGAGCTCTCTTTGTAGTTTGTAAAAAGCCAGCTGGCTGCGCCACTACACTCCATCCCTGAGGGTAAGCTGTCTTGCTACTCAAAGTGGAGGCAGTGGGTGAGAAGCACAGGCAACCCCTGGATGCTGGTTAGAAATGTGGACCCTCTAAGTCAACCCAGATAGAGTAAATCAGAATCTGCGTTTTAACCAGATCCCAGGTAACTCACGCACATACCCGAGTTTGAGGGTCACTGACCTGGAAACCTGGTTCTCACCGCTGGTGCGCACTGGAATTCCAGGGGTGCCTGATGGGAAAACCTGGTGCCTGGATTCAGCCTGAGAATCTGATGTAACTAGTGGCGTGTGTAGCTTTAAGCGTGGGATTGACTCTAACGCGCTGCTGGGCTGGAGCCACTCCAAAGCACTGGTTCTCGCCTGAGCTGCGTGTTGGAATCCCTGGTGGAGTTCTGAAAAAAGAAATGCCATCTTTGGACCCCACAGTGGAGATTCATACTCCTGGGTTTGAGGTGGGGGGCATCTTTTCCAAGTCCCCTAGGGCTGCGAATGTACTGCCAAAGTGGAACAATGCTATTTCTAATAAACCTGACCCGAGCACAGGCTCCCCGCCCTCCCTCCCGAGTCAGGCCCCCGGCTGAGGGGCAGGGAGAGTGGCGCCAGATGCTTGCAGCTGTTCAGGGGCCTCCTGGACGGCACCGTCTGCCCTTCACTTCCCCTGAGGGACTAGCGCAGGGCAGCTGTGACTGTTCCACCCGCCAGGCTTTGGTGCCCTCTGCAGGGTGCACAGTGCTGGCTGGGGCGGGCTCCCTTAGCTGGACCTGCCTGGAAAGTGACTCTGACCATCACAGTCACTCCTTTGTGAAGATGGTGTGTTTTTGTGGGACAGAATTGTCCTCTCGTGGTCTTTCCCCCTACCCTTCACAAGTCCTCTTGACTTTGAAGAAAAACGTCTCTTGCTTCTAGGGCACAAAAGTAAATCAATAAGGAAGTCTGTCCAGGATTAGGTAATAACTAGGAACAAATCATAATCTTGCATTTCTTGAGAGCAGACTTCTCTCCAAGGAGCACAGCTACATTAGCTAATTAGTGGACAGTTAACCCACTTACGGGTGTCACTGTGTGAAGAAGAATAGGGTCTTGGCTGCCACCCAGCTCTTCGGGCAGAGAAATTTTTTACAAAGGAAAGTCCTCAAATTATTAATATGAAAAATTAGCTCCAAATTTGTCTCACAAAACTCAAATGATTACTCAGACGTACAAGGGACAAGTACTTCAGCCTGATGTGCTAAGAAAATTAGTTTCTCCTGTCCTAAAAAACAAACCAACCACAAGGTGTCCGGAGAAAAATGAAGTGGAGGCTGCCACTCCGGACCCTCCCCCTTCTGGCCCCAAACAGGTGCTGCAGCCCCGCACTGTGCTGCGTAGAAATCGTCTGTCATGCTGTATTTCCTCTGAGGTTATTACTGATAATCACAATAATTTTTAAAGAAGCTTTAAAATCCAAAAAGTCTTACTGCCCTGTTGATAAATTCCAGATCTTAGGAGGAGCATGAGTCCATGTGTCTGGTAGTTGCAGGGGACGGAGATTTATCATTCGTCCCTCTGGGCTTTGCTGTTTTTTCAGAACTCCCGACAGGGAAATCCTTGTTTCCCTCCCTTAGAAATGCTTGAGCGCGCAGAATGCGCTCTAGAATGGTCACTGGCACCAGGTGAGATTTGTATGTGGCCCGTCCGTTCTCCATAAATTAGGAACAATTAATATTTTCTTGCCAATGTCTAATGCTCAGAAATTTTACTGTCCTTCTGCATGGATTTCTACCATTATATGGGTTTGGGAAAGTGCTGTGACCAGCGGTACGTCCATCCATAAGCTAGGGGCCCTGCTCCCTTCTCTCCGGTGTCCGGCGTTTCTAAGGGTGGTGGCCTTGCTGGGAGAGCAGGTCTTCCTCTCCCTGTCCCACGACACCCCACCAAATGCGTGTCTGAAACTTCCCTCATTTGGTAATCCCAGTAATGACACACAAGACTTTTGTCAAATATGGGTAAGGACCCTCTTTCTCCATGTTGCACAAAAGCCTTCCTTATGTCCTTGCATATTAGTTCGGGGCTGGACGGAGGTGCTGCAGGGGAGCGACCAGTGAGGGTGAGGTGGGGCAAGTGGTGTGCCAAGGGCCCTCGTGCTCATGGGCTTCAGCAAGGACAGTGACCCCCAGAAGCGGCTGGGCGAGCGGTCAGACGGATAGAACCGGTGCTTGGCCGTGTTGTTTCTGAAGTACTGCCTTTCTTTCTAGCTAACTGAAGTGCCTTTTTTCTCACTAGAACCGCATGGAGGAGAGCAAAGCCTTATTTAAAACCATTATCACCTACCCCTGGTTTCTGAACTCATCTGTGATTTTGTTCTTAAACAAGAAGGATCTTTTGGAAGAGAAAATCATGTACTCTCATCTAATTAGCTATTTTCCAGAATACACAGGTAGGCGTGTATCTTGTCGACCTTGCTGACCTCAGTCCAGGGTTCTTAATGTGACTCGCAGGGACCTCCCCGATCTGCCTCTGACACGTTCTCCCCATTCCTTTGAACAAACCACCAGCTGCGTCACTGTCTGTTTTCAGCTCCACACATGCCTTTCCCAGCACCTGGAATACACTTTGTATGCTCCCTTTGTTAACTCCTCCCCAGGAGGTAGGTGCACCTGCTGCCCCCTTGCTAACCCGGCCTCACCCTTCAGTCGGCTCCTGAGGGCAGAGACTGTGCCCAGCTTGCCTCTGCTTTCCCAGTGTCCAGCAGGGCACCAGGCACTTCTACTGTGCACATTCAAGTATGGCAGCCCTCGTACCAGACCCAGGGCAGGCACTGAGTCTCTTTATACACATGACCGACCACTCCAGGAGAGCTTATGGCTAATTATGTCTAGTACTGGAGGTCTCAGACATTACTAAGTTTGACATCAATATTTAGAGTAGCAGTGTTTTAGCACTGTGCATTTTACTTTTATTAACGGCATTGGCCGTGTGGTATAGGAGCCCACAAGCTTTACAATCAGACTTGGGCGGCTAATAATGCTAGCTCCCATATTCGTCTTTCTCCTTGCCCTAGCCCAGTTCTGTCCGCCTGAGTGAGTAGGAATTACCTCTCTTCAAAAGTGGTCCAGGTCAGAAAGTTAAATGGGTCACTATTTTCAACCAATTGCCTCAAAGTACAATTTTTAGATACCAGTTGGCACTTTAAAATACTCTTTTAAAGGTTCATAATGAGAGATAATAAAAAATAATGCCCCAGGTAAACTGTTTTCTAGAAATAAGATAGCTTAAAGAAGGACCCCAAACAAGAGGACACTGGAACTGATTTGGGGGAGTACCAGCTGATTTTGTTGAGCTGGTATCTTTCTTCTTTATTCCTCTCACTGCCCCCGTGACCAGGCCCAAAGCAGGACGTTAAAGCTGCCAAAGACTTTATCCTGAAGCTTTATCAAGACCAGAACCCGGACAAGGAGAAAGTCATCTACTCCCACTTCACGTGCGCTACTGACACGGAGAACATCCGCTTTGTGTTCGCTGCTGTGAAAGACACGATTCTGCAGCTGAACCTGAAGGAGTTCAACCTCGTTTAAAAGCTGCCGCCCACTCCTCCTCACGACCGGAAGGCAGCCCCGTGTTTTACTGCCGAGTGCTCCTGGCGTCAGCTGCCCAGCCCGTCTGCGGGCCACGGGGACAGAGACGGGTGAGGGAGCTTGTGCAATACTGGAGGTCGACAGAGCTTTTAGAAAGTCCTCATTCCAAAATTGTTTTTATAGTTCTTTTCTTGACTTTGGCTGTAAGGTTTTGTGTAATTTTTGAATTTGAGGTTTTATAGAATTTTCAAAAGCCACTGGGATTTGCTGTTTCTTTCAAAATTAGATTTAAGTGTGTTTAACAGCCATTAGAAAATCACGTAACAACAGGGCCTATTAATTTTGGATATCATGGCTTGAGGCCTCTAGGATTAGATGGGGTGACTTTTTTAAAAAAAGTTGTTTTAAGCTTTTTATTAAATCTTATAATTTTGAGGCATTTAAAATTGTTTTTGTTTTTATGCTGAAAAGTATGATGCCTTTACATGCCACCAAAGATTTTTAAAAGTGGCTCTTTGTGTTAGCTTTCTACGCCAAACTAATGACCATGTCAGTCCACTTAGTCTGGTTTTGCCGCAGTTTGATCACCACGAAGCCAAAGTCGACGCAAGGCGAACTGGCTCCGGAGAGCGGGCACAGGTTATATTGTTAACAATGCGTGTGTGTACGCCAGTGCACGTGACCAGGTCTTACACACTTAGGAAGTGGCTGAAAGCCGCGGCTGTTTAAGAAACGTGATGTAACCCTGCCGAAGTTCTGCTGGCCACCACAATGTGCCCTTTATAAACCGTGTGCGCTGTGCCTTTCTGAGGAGGCTGCAAATACACCATTCTGCTGTTAGCACTGTATGATGTGTTTCTTTAAGCTCATGGTTGATTTATGGTTCTTCTCCTAAAATGCTGTAACTTTAACAGCTAACTACTCAGAAACTTTCCAAATGTCCATACAGGAAAGGAAAAATAATTTTGCCCCTCCCTTTTCAGTCCTTGGCTGAGACCTGTTCCTAGAGTCAAATAGATTAACAGGAGGGAAACAAAAGGTTAAGAACGTGCAGGCCCCTGTATCCATGGGAGACACCCAGCGAAACTGGGTACCTCTGTGAAGCCGCCCAAGCCATCACCTTACGTCGGGTGGGGAGTGGGAGAGGCCAGTTAAGGAACGTCACCAGGAAAAGCACAGCAAAGAAGGGTAAGGTTGTTTCGTAGACTTACGTTGGAGCCTTTCCCATGAGTTCTGATGTAGAGTCGTCCATCCTCTTCCAGGTATACACAGGGAAATGCATTTACAAATGGGGAGATTTCTGTTATAAAGTTTCCCTTCTGAAAGGGTCACTACTTCCACATTTTCAGAACATTTCCTGTGTCTGCTATTTCTTAAAAATAATCAGCTTTGCAACAACATGGATGGAACTGGAAAGCATTATGCTGAGTGAAATAGGCCAGGTGTTGGAAGACAAATACCATATGATCTCACCTTTAACAGGAAGCTAAACAATAAAACAGATAAGCAAGCAGAATAAAAACAAAAGACACTGAAATAGAGAATAGGGGGACAGTGACCAGAGGGGAGGGATTTGGAGGAACAAGTATGAAGGACAAGAACTAAGGGGGGTGGAAATGGGAGGGAGGTGGAGAGCACAGGGCGGGTTGGGCTGGGATGGGAGAAATAGAAAACTGCACTTGAAAAAATCAGCTCAAAAATCCTTATGCTAACGAGGCATATTTTGGGGTGGTGTATTCTGCTCCCCTCTGGTCTTACCTTTGGAACATGATGGGCGTTTCACAGTCCAGAAGCTGAGTTGACAGACAGCTGTGTTATTTCCCTGAACCCGTCTCGTGAGAACAGGTCAGTTCAGTGAAGCATTCATTTCTCATTTCAGGAGGTGGTATTGCAGGTGGGGTCCCAAAGTTAGGCCTGTATGGTGGGAGCACTCAGATATGTAAAAAGAGGCATTTCTATGGAAAGAAGAGAACACAAAGTTAATGGTTGTGTGTCTGACGTCACTGGGTGCTCAGGTAAACTGTCTCAATGGCCTGTGCAACAGAGGCAGGAAGTGGCTGACCAGGAGCTACTGTGACCATTTAGCTGAAGTTTGTATCAACATGTTCCCATTCTGTTTGCAGGGGTTTGGGAAACTCTTCTGCAAAAACACCACAGTAATTTCTGTAAATGAAAAAGGCTTAAAAGTGGCAATGGTTAAAGGTTTGATCAGAGTTCCTTATAAGGCAGTTGACAAACAAATTTGGTTACTTCTATAACATACCTTTTCAGATAACTAGAATTAGAAGTGACAACATATCATCAGGACATACAAGACTTCTAGTAATTTCATGAAATTTGTTCTTATTGATTCCAAGTCAAAAGAGTGGTGGGAAAAATGGAAACATTAGTTTGAAGAGTTGTAGCCAGATTATTTGAGGATATTAGAAGAATCAGGATCCAGTCTGGTTTATAGGTTGAAAATGAAACCTCAGACAATTAACAGGACTAGAGTCAGCCATAAGATGCATTATAGTTTCTCCTTTAGCATCATTTTTCTCTCATCTCATTTTTTTTTTACCAAAGACAATTACAAGTTTGTTTTCAAAATAAATTCAGTCCCGATAAACTTGGCCTGATTATTTACATAAGTGCAGCAAGAACAGTGGTTGACCAGGTACAGGCATTTTAAAAATCTGCTTTGCTGGAACTTTTCATAAGGAATCTCAGGTTTGATGAATCTGAGCCAAGGTCTAGCCTTCACACTTTGCCTGCAGTACCTATCTATCCCTTTGGACCTCTTCTCAGTCAAGGCCCCCCAAATACCCTGAGACTCCTGCATGTGCTGAGAAGTGACCTTCCAAACCTGGTAAGACTTCCAGGAACCCTATAATCAAGGTATCAGGTGGCTTTTCCAAGGGGCTTTATTAAAACTCCTTAAAGCTGTCTGGTCATACATGATTCTTCACGCGTTCTCATGTGACTTTCCAGTCAAAGTCTTGGTAGTAAAACAATTGTGTTCTGTTACAAGGAGAACAGATTCTTAATGAACTTATGCAAATAACTATGTTGTCATGAAAACAAGGATACTCCAAATTTTCAAATTCTGCAGGAGTCAGGTAGGGAGAAGAGGAATTGTTTCATCTTGTTCACAAAGGCATACTTACCAAATTGCTGTAAGTCACAGGTAGTTTAAGAGAAAAAAGTTTCCTTAAATCTGGAAAAGCAAAACATTAAAAAAATTTTGTAAAAATAGTAATCTTCCTTATTATTTCACTGAGTCCCAAATAACAAATGCTTTGAGTCACTGATAATACTTGTTGATCTTGATCTTTTGTTAGCAGTTTTATGAATCCATTTTTTCCTCAGAATTCTCCTGGTTGGTTCTTACCCAGTCCAGTGCTATACTTTGGAATTTAACTGAAACTCACTCTCTTCAGAGACCTTTCCATGAGTCTCCATGAAGATGAGGCACTTTTGCAAAAGCAAAACAATAATTTCTGTAGATGACAAAAGAAAATGGTCATGGTTAAAAGTCTGTTGCGAGCTCATTATAATGCAATCAACAAAGACATCTGGTTGTCCCTCGGACATACATTTTAAGATAATTAGAGTTATAAGTGATAACATTATACTAGGACACATCAGGTTCCCAGGAATTTCATACACATTCTAAAACACACATTAATAACATGTATCCATACAAATACAACCTAAAAAAATTTTTGGCATTACTTATTTGCCAGTCCTTCCCATGTAATATAACAAAAAATTAGTTTAATATCTCTTTTTGCATGGGGAATCTTGATATGTTCTAGGGGGTCCTCTGAAATATTCCAAGTTAGTTCAAGGTCAAATAAGCTTAATTTAGAATTTGATTTTCAAAAGTTTTTCCAAAATAGCAAAAGACGTTTGATAAAATTGGATCACTGATTATTATGAAACAATTCTTAATTAACCATTGAACCACAGTGACAATACAAGACTTTAAAGGCAGATAGAAAAATTTACAGAGTTATAAGCATAACTTAGCTCTTTTGAGAAGACTTGGTTTTCTTAAGTAATCAAATACCTGCTCATAAAGATAACAGGAAGCCCACAACTGTTTTAGTAAAGTATAACATCTTTGCTTTTTAGGCAAATTACTTGAAAGGGTAAAAAAAAACCTTTTAATAATCTTTTATCAGGATCATACCAATAGTCCAAGAAAATCTGGTTAGCAAATGAAAACATTAAGTTTCAGTTTTGCATAAAAGTACACTATTGATATTAAAGCTTACATTTAAACCCTTGTAATAAATTCATTCCATTTTAGCTACCTTACTTACCCACGGTTCCCTCTATGTCTCACTTCCCAACTTTCTACATCCATTATTTTGTCCTTGATTCTCTTCTGCAGTTTTGAAACAACTGGTTGTACTTTAGGAAAAATTACCTTCCCTTAACAAAAATGCATCTTCCTGTCTCTAACCTTTTCTGAACCAAAAACACATCTTACTTTCTGTGTATAGAGAGATGTTTCCCTATTTTTATATTTCATTACATATAATGATTAGAATTCCCAACCTTTGAAATCTTAATTTCTATTGAAAATTAAGAGATAAGCAATCTCAAACTACTATGTACTAACATTATGTAGAATAGCAAATTTGTTAATACATTTCATAATTTCATAAGAATATGCTTTTTTGTAGGACAATTTTTCAGTATAGTACAAGATATGTTTACTAACATACCCAAATATGTTTAGTTTTTTTTGTAATAAGCGAAGAGTAGATAAAACTAAATTCAGTAACTCATGTTTTCAGTATTTCATCTTATTTGAAAATGATCTAAATATTGAATGAATTTCCATCATTTATCTTGGCAAAATTTTAAGGTTTCATGTTACCAAAAAGACCTGGAAGCTACTTTAAAGTAGGCATGTTATAATACTTCATAACTGTTTAAAATCCGATTTAGATTAGTCTTGAAAATTTCACAAAACATTAAACAAAATTACCATCATCCTGTTACTTTTCTTGCTGACGAGTTTTGTAACAGAGAAACATGAACCTACTTGACTAACGAAGCATGTCTGCATTACATCTAATTCTGACGACTCTGAACACCTCTCTATTTTCGACCGACTTAAACTTACACTTACTATTTCCGTAGATCATGTGAACTTAAGAAACACTTGAATGAGTTTCCATATTTCTAAGAGTCTAGAAATACTTATTTTATATAAGCATACATTAAAAAATTTTTAATCCTCACCTGAGGACATTTTTTCATTGCTTTCGGAGATAGAGGAAAGGGAAAGGAGAGGGAGAGAGACATTGATAGGCTGCCTCTCGCACGTGCCTGACTGGGGCCCGAACCCTCAATCCAGGCACGTGCCCTGACTGGGAATTGAACCCTTAGTCTTTTGAGGTAATGCCCCCAACAACTGAGCCGCACCTGCCAGGGTATAAGCACACTCTTTAAAGCCAACTGAATAGAGCTCTGTTACAAATTAACTTTGGCCATACCATCTGGAGGTAGAAAATATCATATGTCTACAACATAATATATACTCATAGACATACATAAACATACAAAACAGAGACCTCATAGCTACTATTCAAAATTTTAGCCATGAATCAGGTATAGTAAATACAAAACTCAACAGCTTATCAACAGCTGGATCCAAACTGGGTTTCTGGCAGATGGACTAAGTTCAATTTACCTTCTCAAAGAGCTTAAACCTCTTTACGTATATCTATGGAGAAGACACAAGTTCTCTTTTGCCCAATTTCTAAATAGCTCCTTTTTCCCTTTTGATGAGAATCACCTCTTTAAAGTTTGCATTTAGAAGCATCAGAGATGGCTTGAAAGTG